CTATTGACTAATCGAGCAGTCGATGGAATTTCCATCATTTTAACATCCCTAGTACCCAGAGTCAAATATGCTAAAGAAAGACTTGATTTCTTATTAAACTGCACAACCAAGAGACCTACAAAAAGCCAACCGAATTACTCTGGCTCATGAATCAGACTTGTTTACTAACTTCTGATTGTAACACAAAACTCTGCCAGTCAGTTATACCAGTACAGCCTCTTCGGAGGCATGGGCTAGACAATGCAACTGAGGACAACATTTTTGTTACATGTGATCCACATGCCCACAAGAACCTGGATCAGATTTCACATTCCACAGTATTGCAGGTCTGGCACAATATATGTAAAGGGTAAATTTGCTCTGGTGTAATTGGGGCAACATTTACACACACACAGCCACTCCTCCCCATAAAACGAGACACTGTTGTAATGAACTAGAAATTCAGTCTGTAACTCACTAATCCCCTCCCCTCCGATCTCTCCCCCACATGACTGGAGAGGGGGGCTCACTTCACCTTGAATGGTCCTTTGAAATGCATGAGACACAAGGTGAGAGAGATTATCTTTTACTGTACCATCTTCTGTTGATGAGAGGGACAACCCTTTGGGCTTACACAGAATTCATCTTCTGAACTGAAGAGCAGCTCTGTGTGAGTGGCTCCAATATCCTGAGACCAATGAAGCTAAAATAACACTACACACCATGAAATGTATTAACTACTTCTGCTAAACAATCTGTTCCACCTTGTATTTAGCTGTGACTTGGAGTCTCTTTCCCAGACCCAAAGAAGAGCTCTGCATAGCTTGAAAGCCTGTCTCCCTCGCCAGTAAGATATTACCCTCCCTCACCTTGTCTCTCTCATTTTACTGTATCATTTTTCAAAGTAGAATCATATTCTGAATCCTTCTCTAACCTATGCTGCGAGGATGCACAATGAATCTCTCTCTCTCTCTCTCTCTGCCCTTAGCTCGTATGGGAGCATAGGCCATCAACAATTTCTTTCCAAGCCTTTGTCTTGTGCCACCTTTTCTAATCCTCTCCAACTTTTGCCCATTTTCCTTACATTCACATTCAGGTCTCTTCTCCAACTATTGTTTTGCCTTCCTCTTCCCCCTTTTCCCCTGTGGGTTCCAGGATAGGGATTGTCTGGTAATGCTAGTTGGTGGTTTCCTCAGTGTATGGCCGATCCATCGCCATCACCTTCTCAAAATCTCTTGCTCTATTGGGCATTGCCCTGCTCTTTCCCATAAGCTAATGTTTGTAACCTTGTCAGACCACTTCAGGTCAATGATCTTATGCAAACATTTATTAATGCACAATGGATGGCTGCACTTAATTCTTTAATGCAACGGTTTTAAACCAGTTTAGGCAACAGGGTTTAAAGAAACGTAGCTGGAACCACAATTACCTGACTGCATCTGATCTAAAGCAGGCTACAGATCCATTCTTTTTGGAGCGTTTTGATGCCAACTGTATGGTGAAGACTCTGGTTACTGGCCCAAAAGAGAGCATACTTCCGTTTGAAAAAACAAACTACCAACCACCAAATACATCCTGGCAGCAGAAAGTCTGAACGGAAGGTTCCCTCCCAGATCTGCAAAGCAACAATCTTTCTTTATAATCCATAACACTTATTTATCATCAGTGGTCTTTCTTTTCCTACTTCATGAGCGGTTTGTTACATCTAGCGTGTAGCTCTAACAATCTTATTTCCTAAGACTTGTGGAATATTTATGCTATTAATGCATTTCCCCATGTATTACCCCCCTTCACCCAGGGACAGCCTGCCCACATACCAGAGAAAACTGATCCCACGCCAGGCACTTCACCAACATACCTCTAGTGCACAGAAATGCTCCTGATGCCATGGCCACCTGCAGAGCCTGAGCCAATCTGTCCAGAGCCAGTTCAATCTCTTTGGAAGCATTCAGTGGATTGAGTTCATCCGACAGTCTGTTAATTTCCTCGACAAGTGTAACCACGTGGTCAAAGGGCACTAGCCCCAGCCGGCCATAGAGGTTCTTCTCTGTTAAGTGCCCCTGAAGCATCATGAGAACCTGTAGGACACTGAGATGCAGTTTGGAATATAGCAAGTGGCAGTCTTTGTCAGCGCCAGCAGCTGAGTCCTTGGCAATTTTATTGGCGAGGTGACCATTTGAGAGAGAGGCCTTCTTTTTCCTTTTGTAGGCCAGAGGGGCCTTCACACACCAGCGGATCAGTCCGGTGAGGGGGGTGAGCTCTAAAAATCCTATTGGCAGGTTGGCTGCAATAGGGGTGTTTAAAAAGGTGATGAGTATCAACCGGGGGTCCTCAAAGATCCAGGAGACAACCATCTCGAGCAAGTCCGAAGGGGGAATGAGATCATCTGGAAGAAGGATGAGACACTGCTCAGCAAGTCCCCTTTTTTGGCACAGGGACAGCAATTTCATTCTCCTCCCCCATCCTTCATAACTACTGTGGAGCCAAAGCCGGGCCCAGGGAGCGGTACCGCTCTGCATGCCAAGCCAAAGAGCCGGTGGCAGCATTAAGTGTCCCACTACCATGGACTGGACCACTGGGATCAGAACACTGGATGCCTAATTCTCTTTGGACTCCTGAGAGAGGGAGCTTATAGGCGCTGAAGGTCCCGACGGTGCCAGCATTGACGTTGAGTGCTGGGGAGCGTGCCACTGGACGGGGCACCAGTGCTCGGGGCACCGCAGGCCTGTCTTGGTCCAGCGCTGTGGACGGAACATGGTCCCAAAGCTGGTCCTGGTGCTCCTGAGGGGGCAAGGGTGAGTCAGCAGTCAACTCTATCAGTTCCCGCGCCACCTCGAACATATCTGGAGTGGAGGGTCTCTCAACTGGAATGGGCTCCTCCGTCATGCTGTGGCCCTTGGGTGCGCTCGACCAGCCGCATTCAGTCCCAGGAGCAGTGACCCTCATTGCCAGAGCAAGTGCAATAGGGTGAGAGTGCAGGCTAAGCCGGGCCCTCCTCTTCTTGCAAGGCACCAGGGATTGCGACAGGTTCCACACTGCAGGATGCCTCGAAGCTGATGAGGTTCCTGACGAACGCAGTGTCTCCCACACCGAGGGCGGTGTGCTGCGGGACTCCAGGGCTGCATCCACTGCTGGACAGAGTGCAGTCTTTCACGCTGAATCCAGGGCTTAAAACTACAGCAGATTCTGCAGTTAACCGGAACATGGGCCTCACCCAGACACTTCAAACACGACTCGTGTGGGTCTCCACCTGGCATAGGTTTTGAACAGTCAGTGCAGGGCTTAAAGCTGTGAGGCCCTGGTATGCCCTGAGAACCTGGAGGGAAGGGGATGCAACAGGTGAACCCAACAACTTATCTAACACTACCTACACAAGTACTTAACAGGGAAAGCAACTTGAAGGAAACAAAGGGAATCAACTAAGTGCTAACTACGCTAAAGGACCAAGGACAGGGGAGGCCCACTGGTCAGTGAGGAGGAAGAAACAGTAACAGGAAACTTGGAAATGGCAGAGATGCTTAATGACTTCTTTGTTTCGGTCTTCACCGAGAAGTCTGAAGGAATGCCTAACATAGTGAATGTTATGGGAAGGGGGTAGGTTTAGAAGATAAAATAAAAAAAGAACAAGTTAAAAATCACCTAGAAAAGTTAGATGTCTGCAAGTCACCAGGGCCTGATGAAATGCATCCTAGAATACTCAAGGAGCTGATAGATGAGGTATCTGAGACTCTAGCTATCATCTTTGGAAAATCATGGGAGACAGGAGAGATTCCAGAAGACTGGAAAAGGGCAAATATAGTGCCCATTTATAAAAAGGGAAATAAGAACAACCCAGGAAACTACAGATCGGACTTCTGTGCCAGGGAAGATAATGGAGCAAGTAATTAAGGAAATCACCTGTAAACACTTGGAAGGTGGCAAGGTGATAGGGAACAGCCAGAATGGATTTGTAAAGAACAAATCATGTCAACCAATCTGATAGCTTTCTTTGATAGGATAACGAGTCTTGTGGATAAGGAAGAAGAGGTGGATGTGGTTTAGAAAAGAGAAGATTGAGGGGGGACATGAGAGCTGTTTTCAGGTATCTAAAAGGGTATCATGAGGAGGGAGAAAACTTGTTCATCTTGGCCTCTAGGGATAGAAGAATGAAGCAATGGGCTTAAACTGCAGCAAGGGTGGTTTAGGTTGGACATTAGGTAAAAGTTCCTAACTGTCAGGGTGGTGAAACACTGGAATAAATTGCCCAGGGAGGTTGTGGAATCCCCATCTGTGGAGATATTTAAGATTAGGTTAGATAAATGTCTATCAGGGATGGTCTAGACAGTATTTGGTCCTGCCATGAGGGCAGGGGACTGGACTCGATGACCTCTCGAGGTCCCTTCCAGTCCTAGTATTCTATTCTATCTGTAAGTCTGGGTCCAGTCTCCACTAAAATCCTCATTCATGCATCACTCTCTTCCTGTTACAACCATTGCAACTCTTCTTTTGTCTTCCTAAACCCCAGCTCTCTAAAATCCTCAGAATGCTACAGTCAGATCCTTCACTCCAGGAAATCTGGACCAAATTATCACAAGCTCCAGTCCTTTCGCTGGCTTTGTAACCACATCTGAACCCATTTTTAGAAGACTCCCTCAGTCCCTGCCCTTTGTCAAGAGGGTCAGCAATAGGACCAATCATCCGTTACAAACTGGACTGAGGTCACTCACCGCTATGTTGTGCTTCTCAGCTTTCCCCTCACTGCAAAGCAAGATGCTGCACCCAGCACTGTGTTTAGCAAAACTGTGATGCTGAGCGTCATTACAATGCCAATAGGGAGCTGAGAGCACAAACGTGCTGATAACAGTCAGTGGGCACAGCACTGTAGCATTCATTTTGAGGAGGCTGCTGCCTACTGACAGCTTACCTGAAGAAAGGTCGTAGAGCGTGGTAACTGACGTTATGAACTGGCAGCAGAAGCGAGGACTAGCGCTGAATATTTGTTTCAATATCTGAATGGAACCTGGCACCAGACAGCAGTAGTCGTCCACTAAGGTGCGGGCTAATGTCACTGAGTAGATTGCAGGTGTTCGCTGAAAGAGATTTGCAGTACCAAGTGGTGACAGGTACGTCAAACCAGTACATAAGAAATTCTCCATAGGGAGATGCACAGTATTTCACTAAGGCTCTGTTACATGCAACTACCAATTGGTTGTTACTACATCTTCTTGCGAACTTTAAAATTTTTGTTTGATGTAGGTAAAACACTAAGTGTCTGAGCTTTAGCTTCTGGTGGCTGTGGCTAGCCCTCATTATACTAGCTTCACTAAGCTTATCAGATCCCAAGTGAAAGTTATTCTGCAAAGAAGAAACTGTCTTTTAGTAATTAACATCATCTGGAGCAAGGGACACAAATCACCACTTTGGAACTAGATGATCACTTTTTACCATAACTGTCACATATTACAAACCCATCTATAAGCCGTTTTCTAGCGTTACTGCAGCAGGCCATAATAATAATTCTGTTTCAAAAAACAATAGTCAAGAGACAACCTCAACTTGAAATCTGCTATCTAGTCAAACATGATTTAAAAGGTGTTTCAGACACGACACTCACCCATACCCCTTGCCAGTTTTTGTGATTTCAATTATTATGTTTCTCTATTTTTTTAAATGTTTTCTCACTTATTACTATATGAAAGACCTACCTGTAAAGTGACCATTCCCTGACCAAAACTATTTAAGGTCTAGGGTGCAAGTCAGTTATTGAAGGGTAAAAGCTTTGCAAGAATTTCTACAGCTGGCCAAAGTGACATGTGTCTGACAGAGTGTGATCTTTCCTCTTCACGGGAAAGTGTTCCAATTTCATGAACTGAGCACAGCAGTATCCTCGGGCCACTGCTGTCCAAGTCCTCATAACCACAGTCCCCACTGTCCCAGAGGAAGAAAGCCACTCTACCTGGGATTTCGGGGAAGCATCAGGATTGGGGTCCCCTGACCGAGGTTCTCAGGGAAATGTGTGAGTGGGAGACGTGTGCGAAATATGAGTGTGGTTTACCAGGACAGTGCTGTCCCTGCAATTTCTTTTTAAGTACCAAGATTTTAACATGGAAACTTCTATGTACTTAAATGAGCTGAAGGTGACTGCACCACAATAAGCCATCCCCTCAGTGTCCTGCCACCTACGTTACACCCCTTTGGCTATGTCTAAACTACAAAGAATTCCTGCGGAATTTGCATATCTTCCTCTGATTGCATTTTTGAAAGAGGCTCTTTCGAAAATTAATGGAGTCTGGACGAGTTTTTTTTCAGGGACGGGGATGGACGGACTTTTTAGAAAAAAAACACACGTAAACCTCCTTTTTTTTTTTAAAAAAAAAGGGAAGGGGGGATTCCCCCCCCCCCCGAAAAAACCTTGTCCTGACTACTTTAATTTTTGAAAGATTCTCTTTTGAAAACGTGATCAGAAAATACATAAATTCCCTCAGAATTTGCAGATCCTCTTTCGAAAAATCTTTGTAGTTTAGATGTACCCTTTCTGTGCCTGCAGCCTTCAAGAGGCCTGTGTGAAGAAACACCTGTACTGCAGACCTTAGAGAAGTGTGTGTGTGGTGGGGGCGGGGCTCCCTCTGCTGCCCTTCTCTGTCCCTCCCATCCCTCCGGTCTGAAAACCTTCTTCTGCACATCTCCTGAAGGGTGCAGGAATGAAAGCTCAACTCTTACAGACCTTAGGTAGCACATCAGGGTGGAGGGTCCCATAAAGCAGAGACCCGCAGGGGCATGGGCGCTACAGGAGCTTGGAGAGCAGCAAAAGTTATTCCCTTCACAGACCTCAGTAGGAAGAACGACCCTGGCTGCACCGCCCTGTCAACTTGTGTAAGCTGCATGGGGGTCTGCAAGTGGAAGGTCCATGGCTGCAGGGAGCAGGTTCTGTAAACTGAATTCTAGAGCCCACCTCTCAGCCCTAACCCTGCATTGCCACTAGGCAGCCCTTTTCTTTAGCTCACCCACCTGCACCCCAAGTTCACCTGACCAGCTCTTAGGGACCATTCCATCCATGCACCAGTTTACCTGCAGCCATGATGCAGCACACTCCAGAACAGGAACTCTGCACACAGCTACCGCCATGGAAACCAGTTTTCCTAGCAAGGCCATCCTGCCATCATCTGCTTTGTTTCCTTGCGGGCTGAAAAGGGCTGAGAAAATGATCTGCCGGACTGAATCCTTGGTTTGCTCTTGAAAATAGCTGCACATGATCTCAAGAAGTTGAAGCTCCTGAAGTGAATTCAACCTCTAAAAAACACCACCAGAAAACAATAGAGTAAATCTCAAGGTAGCATGTCCAGAAACAGAAGGAAGCATTATGAGACCATGCCTCCTCCTCCTTTCCCCATTGCACTTCAATTTCCTGCTTCTGGGCAAACCTGGCCATACTTCTTCATGAGCTGCCTGTAGAACAGGGTACATACACTGACCAGCTATTTCAGGGACCACATACATTCCGTTGCTGAAAGATCAAACAGCAGTTGTAGAGTCTAAGGCAGAGCTACTCAACACTCAGCCTGCAGACCATTTGTTTGCAGCCTGCCGTGCGATTTGGGTTTAGGCAGGGCTCAACATGCAGCCCTTGGGTGGGATCCTTTGAACATGGCCTCCATTAGGAACACGCTCCACCACGGCGAGGCGTCTCCCAGCCAGGGTGAGCACTGAAAGACGCAAGCTCCCTCAGGGAGGAGGTGCTGGGAGCTCCGGGGTATTGTGAGAAAGAAGCCATTTGCATATATATATTTGCATGTCTACGCAACTACACTTAAGTTGCAGCCCTCGGCATGTGATGCGAGTATCATTGTGGCCCCCGGGGCTTCCAAAGTTGAGTAGCTCTGGTCTAAGGGCTTCTGAGCAGTAACAGAACTTCTGGCTTTCCAGATCTCATAGCCTACTCTGTGTAGCCTGCCTTATCACCTTTCAGTTCTTGCTTCTTCTCTGATAGAGCATGCACATGCTTGGTTTCGAGACAAACATTACACGTACTTCCCAAGCTAAAAGGGTATTATTTGCAGGGTAACTGCATGGAGTTTCTTGTCAAGGCAAAATATTACAAAGTCTAGACAGGAACCCAAGAGCACTCTCAGGAGAAACTAATCTAAAAATACAAAAAAGGTCTAAAAGTGTCTCTTTTTTTCCTTGTTCTTCCAGTGCCTCTTAACTTTCTAAGCCCTGAACCTGCACCCAGATCTACATGGATGGACTCTTGCACCTACATGTAGTCCCAATTTAGCCAGGGAGGCTCAGTATGGATTTGATTGCAGGCACAGGTCCTAGATTGTAAGTGCAAGGCCACATCAAGACATTACTAGTCAGCTCAAACACAGCTGTATTTTTGCTCAGAGGATCTGTTACCTACTTTAGGCTGGGAGTTGCGCTCTTTGGGAACCTGAAATATGAACTCTTCCAGCAACTCAATTGGGCCTTTGTCCACAATGGGAAGAGGGGCATTTTGGAGCTGACTGCTGAAGTAGATGTCCAAGTGATACAGCACTTCTTTGGCAGCACTCAGGGCATCCCGGCGGAGCAGGGAATGGCGAATGTCACTCATTATGCTCCTGCCATAGAAGTCACAAAAAAAGTGATGAGTAAACCTCAATAACATCAACAACAGTAGCATCAGTCTCAGTTCTTCCACCTTGAGGAAAGGAGAGGATTCTGCTTTTTATGCAGCAGTTCTCTTGTATTTACATTTAAGGACTTGTGAGCAGGAACAGTGGGGACTTGGAATGCAGGGATCTGATGCCCTTTCCCAAAAAGCCCGAGATTTATATTTCTGTGGCCCATACCTCACCCTACTTTTATTTAAGCAAACAAGCAAAGCCAGGGAGCACAAAAGTGTTTCTCATACTGAAAGCATTAATGGCACTGGCTCCTGAACGTGCTTAGACGCTAGAGAAAACAAGGAGCAACCCTTGCAGGATGCGGAAGGAATCACTGTGTTGCTGTCACAAAGACAGGGCCACAGCACACAGACACTGATGTCAATGTGCCCGGAACACAGCCAATGTGCGAGAGTGGGACGAGTGAAAACCCTTCATTGCGAGCACTAAAACCTCACCCTAGCTCTGCAGCCATGGAGCCACCCGAAGGGCTGATCGGCCTGAAGGCGGTTCCGCACGTGGGGGAGAAGAGACGAGCAGGGCCAGTGGCCCCCCAGCGCCACAGCACACAGACACTGATGTCAATGTGCCCGGAACACAGCCAATGTGCGAGAGTGGGACGAGTGAAAACCCTTCATTGCGAGCACTAAAACCTCACCCTAGCTCTGCAGCCATGGAGCCACCCGAAGGGCTGATCGGCCTGAAGGCGGTTCCGCACGTGGGGGAGAAGAGACGAGCAGGGCCAGTGGCCCCCCAGCTCCGCATTCTCCCGAGCTGCTGCGAGCTTCGGGCAGCCCC